TATGTGTGTATGTGTGTATGTGTGTATGTATGTATGTATGTATGTGTGTGTGTGTGTGTGTGTGTGTGTGTGTGTGTTCAGGTCTCTGTCCGCTTCACCTGGCTGTACAAGCAAACAGTTTGAGTTGTGTGCGAGCCCTGCTGGATGACGGGGCAGATGTGGATGTTCAGGAGATCACGTGTGGCCACACAGCACTTCACCTGGCCACAGAGCTGGGAAACCTTTCCCTTGCCGGCTGCCTCCTGCTGGAGGTACAGTGATGGGTTTGAAGGATGTTGCTTTAGTGAATACTGCATATTCCTAATATTGTAAAGTTTTGCTCTACATACTCTTAACCTTTGCATTTTCCCCCCATGAAGCCCACCTATAATGTTAATCAATACATTATTATCATAATTTAATCTTTCATGATTTTTTACACATTCTCACTAACTCTAATTCTGTTAGAATTAAAAAGTTTAATTTTTATTTTGCTGCTAAAAAACTATTATAGCTAATCTTGTTTCATGTGAAATGAGTAATAAGAAATGAGAAATGAGTCAGTGTTTACACTGTTGTTTTTTGTAATAAGGCTCTTATGCTCACCCAGGCTGCATTTATGTGATCAAAAATACAGTAAAAACAGTAATATTGTGAAATAATATTACAATTTAAAATAACTGTTTTCTATTTTAATATATTTTAGAATGTAATTTATTCCTGTGACGTAAAGCTGAATTTTCAGCATCACTGCTCCAGTCTTCAGTGTCACACGACTCTTTAGAAATCATTCTAATATGCTGATTTGCTCAGGAAACATTTATTCTTATTATCAGTTTAGAAAACTGCTGTGCTGCTTAATATTTTTGTGGAAAATATGGTAGATTTTTTCAGTAATTTTTGATGAATAGAAAATTCCTATGATTTGAAATGAAACATTTTTGTAACATTATGTCTTTACTATCACTTTTGATCAGTTTAATGCATCCTTGCTAAATAAAAGCATTAATTTCTTTAGAAAATGCTGAAATAATGTGCTTATGAAGTTATTAATCGTAATTATCTCTTAATGAATGAACTGACCTTAACTGAAAAATTGACTTTGTTATTGTCCTCTTGCATTATTGACAAACTATTTTCCTGTTTGTGTCAAAGCAGCTTTACAGTGTCAATCTGTATTTTATAAAGCGCTATACAAATAAAGGTGACTTGACTTGAATGACACTCTGTGTGTAACATTTTGTCTATGCAGGGTAATGCATATGTAGACAGCGTCACCTATAATGGTTCAACTCCTCTGCACATTGCTGCAGGACGTGATTCAACCAAACTGTGCGCGCTCCTGATGGCTGCAGGTGAGGAAGTGTGTATTTATTACAGGTGTCACTAGTGAGAGTTGTCGTGCTGAAAAATGTATGACTAACATGACATGTCTACAAATAACTGTCTGTAACATCCTGTCCTGCTGTCATCAGTGTTCTGCTTATATCTCTGGTAGAATTAGCCAAAAGCAACTTTTTTTATCATTTATTGAAGAAGATAAATAATCACTCATCCCAAGTAATAATTAGTACTTTTGTGACCATATACATTGGATTAAATTACTTTGACATGAGGTTACCAATTAGTGTTGTGTACCTTGCTTTTAGGAGCAGATCCTCATAAAGAAAACTTTGAACCACTGTTCTTCAAAGAAGATGAGTTGTGTGGTACATGTGAGGAGGAGGAGGAGGAGGAGGAGGAAGATGAAGGCTATATTCCTGGGACAACCCCTCTGAACATGGCAACCTCCCCAGAGGTGGCATAGAGAGTCATATCTTTGGATAATTGTTGTATTATGTAATGTAATTGTATTACAGGTTGCCAGTGGTTCTGTATGTAATGTAATGCATGTTTTCAGGTGTATGATATTCTTAATGGAGAAGAGTATCAGCTCACCACCACTGTTGTTCCACCACAAGGTATGAACACTGAGATGAATATAAACTACCATTCAAAAGTTAGGGGTCAGTTATGTATGTATGTATGTATTTATTTATCTATGGAAAGACTTACAAATACTTTTATTCAGCAAGAACACATTAAATTAATCAAAAATGACAGTAAAGGCTATAATGTTACAAAAGATTTCCATTTCAAATTAATGCTGACTTTTAAACTTAAAAAAAAAAAGAATCCTAAAAATATCATCAGTTTCCACAAAAATATTAAGCCACACAAATGTTTTCAAATTTGTATAATTAAAAATAAATGTTTCTTGAGCACCAAATCAGCATATTAGAATGATCATTTGACACTGAAGACTGGAGTGATGGCTACTGAAAATTCAGCTTTGCCATCAAAGAAATAAATGACATCATAAAATATAGTAAAATGGAAAACAGTTATTTAAATCATAATAATATTTCATTATATTACTGTTTTTTTTTTTTTTATCAAATAAATGCAGACTTGCTGAGCACAAGAGACTTCTTTCAGAACGTTAAAAAAAAACCTTACTGACCCAGACCTTTTGAATGGTAGTGTTGTAGGCTCTACAAAAAAGTATTTTGGTAACATTTATCCTTCGGGTTTTTTTTGTTTGTTTTTTTTTTGTATTGTTCAGGGTTTCCACATTCACAAAAAACCTGGAAATATCGGGGAATTTTAAAATGGTGTTTTCTAGGCC